AAAAAATATATATATATTAAAATTTGGTATCTGCCTTCTGCAGAAGAGCAAACTATAGATGGCCAGCTGAATATGGTCAACAGAACAATAATAATTTGTAACAAGTACCTGGAAGTTGATACACATAGCGTTCACAAAAGTTCTTTTAAAATCAGAAAGTCTTACCAAATAGCAAAAATTAACGAAAGACTTTTACGAAACGAAAAAATAAAGCGGATCAAATTCCGATTGCTTATTAAACAAGGATGAGTTAGTGTCTCCAAAATTCAGCAGGAATAAATAGTGCAAATTTGGCGGTATCCTCCGCCAACTTTCATTTTCTTATTTAACCAACTTTCACGGTTGACAGGATACCAAATAAGTAAATTTAAATTAATTTACGTGTAACTATGAGCTGAAAGTTTCATACTGTGGTTTTTTATGGTGAAACAAATACTGCTAATCACATAATATTCCTGGTAATTTTATTGCTTATTGTTTTGCTGAAACTAAAGATCTACTTTGCCTATATATGATGACGTGATAGGAATTTTTATGCTTTTAGATATAGATAAGTTACAGTCAACATCAACTCGCGAATAGCTGAGGAACGAATTTATCATCCTGTATCCACCCAAATTAAGTTTACTTATAATTTATGAACAAATAATTATCACAAAACTGACGAATGAAAAGATGAGGAACAAAAAATAACTGTAATGATACCGGATGTTATCTATATAAATTCTGAAAAAAAAAAAAAAAAAAAAAAAAAAACCGCTTTAACTGCTGTTTTCATGCGAGGTCGAATTCAATGATACTGTTCAGGTTATAATGAGAATAGTGTTCACGAAAAAAAAATATAGTTTAATTATTTCAATTTTAATGATTTAATTCTTCCATTACTGACAGTAATAGGTAGAAGTAGGAGGGTTCCAAAATTTCGTCATTGGTATTATAAGTGTAGTTCCGCCTCACTACCTCCCCAATTTCGAGGGAACTATCCCCGGCTTTCCATCTCCCTTTCCTACCACCAACCTACCACCGATGTTTCGAGAAGACTTTTGACTCGACATGCATTTTGAGTGTCCCCTTGCCGTCCAGGCACTATACGCTTACAAACATCCATGGTTTTTCTGGAATTAGAACCCCAATTAATCGGACTGACCGGTACGGCAGTTAATGTCACTAACCAGCAACGGAAAGGGTCACCATCGGTGAGCGCTTTCGTTACTGACAGTGTGTTCGTTTTGTTTTGAATCATTTTGTTTGAATTTTTGATTTAATATATGTAACTAAGTGAATTCCTTCTCCAGATTAAACTACTTGGGAGTATAGGTACAACTGTAAACGGTATTTTTTTGTTAAACAGTAATGTGAGTTGTTCCTCTTTCCTGTATTTTAAGTGCCTTGAGAATATACAGGGATGTCTTCCTTCTATCAGTCCGATTAATTGGAGTTAATTGAATATAAATCTGTTATATAAATTTATATTCATGCAATTGTCATCGTACTTTAGAGCAATGTATTGAATTTTATCCTTACAATTTATGTTTGACCTTCCTGTATCTAGAGTAAATAATGTAAGGAGACCATTTTCACGGACCGGGGCCGATTTTGCCGGCCCATTTCAAGTTTACCATAAACGTGGCAGAGGACTACGACCAACAAAGATGTATGTATGCGAGTCTGTGTGCTTTATCACGAAAGCTGTTCATCTGGAAGCTGTCAGTGACTTAAGTTCCAATGGATTTATTGGTGCTCTAAAACGTTTGTTGCTCGTAGAGGAACAACACAAATAATTTATAGCGATTGTGGATCAAATTATGTTGGTGCACGAAATTAATTGAAGATGTGGACTTCAAAAGCCATTGGGAGTTCCTTAGCAGATGAGAAGGTTGAGTGGAAACTTAATGCTCCTTCCGCCCCTCATTTTGGAGGCCTCTGGGAGGCTGCAGTAAAAACCATGAAATTCCATATGAAAAGAGTGATTGGCTCACAGATATTAACCATCGAAGAGTTCAATACATACCTTGCCGAAATAGAGGCAGTGATGAACTCCTGACCCCTCATTCTAGCATCAGACCATTCTGAGGATTTATCCGCACACAATCTAGCACATTTCATTATAGTTGCTGAAATAAAGAGAATTCCTGAACCTAGTGTTATAGATGAAAAAATTACCATGCGCCAGTGATGGAAGCTAGTGACACAGCTTTCGCAAACCTTTTGGAAAAATGGTCTAAATATCTAACACAGTTACACTTGAGAAATAAATAGAGGAAATCCATGACTAACATGAAAATTGGAGATTTAGTGTTGATTAAAAGAGAACAACCTACCTCCCTTAAGATGGAGAATGGCTCGAAGTTTATCCCGGCAGTAATGAAAAGATTCGAGCTGTCAAATTAAAAACTACCTGTGGTGAACTAATTAGACCAATACACAAACTGGTACTGTTAATGTCTGAGAACTGAACTAAATATATGTATATATATATATATATATATATATATATATATATATATACTTTACTTCATTTCTTTATTACGATTTTAATTAAGTTTTGTTTGCTTTGTAGTTTAGGTTATTTCTACATTCCTGAACTATGCGGAAAATGCTCATTCACTATGCTGAGTTTGTATAAGTGCTATATTAATGATTTGTTAAACTATATAGCTATGTATATTTATTTATTAAATGTAATTCTATAATATCAATAATTCTATATTCATCAAACATTATAGAATTACATTAAATGAATTAATGTAATTCTATAATATTTGATGTCCTAAAAGGCCATCGACCCTCACAGGATGTTAACGATGTTTTATGCTCGCCCCAAAGTCAGCGCTATTTGGCGTCCTTAACATATCAAGATGAGCCAAGCGTATGTATAAGTGCTAGCTGTTCATTCTTTTCAGTGTTCTGTCTGTCTGTGTTTTCTAGTATATTTTGTGCGTCTTATTATGTACTGCCTTATACTATTTATACCGAATGTGTGTATAGTTACACCATATACTGTTCTTACACTCTGCAATTATATTCAAACATGTCGGTACTTAGATATTCAGTGTAAGTATTCTACTATCTGTTATAATCTAAAGTATTACCGAGCCTATCCATATTAATTCGTTAATAACTGTGCATTATTCTCAGGAATAATTCCACGGAAATATCCACAAAGGCACGATGGTATTTTCCTAGAACTTTGGAATCTCCACTTTTACTGTGACTATGGACTCATTTAGGGAGTCAAACACGAAGGCATATTATTATCTAAAGTAATCCCCCCTCACGAATAATAGTAGCATTCCTATGAAAGGTGACTAAGCAACACTAACCTACCCCGAGATTCTTCCACCGAACAGGCATCATTCCGCATGGATTTCTACGACGGAAACCTGCTCTGTGGTGTGTGTTGTGCCGTCAAATAAATGTGGTTATGTGTGAATTGTGTCTGCCGCCTAATTTTTCCCTGGTACTATGCAACAGTTAAAGTTTTACAAAATATGAAATATATAATAATAGATAATCCAGAGATAGATAATCCAGAGTTCAAAATTAAGGCATCCAGATGCCCATTTTAAGGTGGAGAATTACGTTATACAAAATTTGATGGCTCTAGAATCGATGGTTTTTTTTCCACAATGCGAGAAACACACACACATTCACGTAGATTATTCATTATTTATTTTTTAAATATAACATAGAGCGATAATATTTGTTGGCAACAATTTAAAAGGTGATTCGCAGTTTATAATGAAAACCTACAAAACGCGTTTTTGAGGCTAGTAGACCTTCTGGGCTGCCACACCTTTGGTCTAAAAAGAAAGAAAGGATTGCTGAAAAGCACTTATTCTAATCTGATTATCCTTAAAGAAAGCTTTTTAAAATATTTTAAAATGCAGTTGATAGCAATTATTTCCTTTTTCAGGTTTTCCTCGAAACGAGTTTATTCAATATAAAAGTAAATTTTTATAAAATTCCATGCATCAAACAAACCTTAAATTTTGCTGTATAAAGTTACTTATCAAAATGTATTGAATAACCCTATTTAAATGCTTCTTCAATAAGGAATTAATTATTACGACACTGATTTTTATAAAAATATGGCGTATTTTCTTAAAAATTTCAATTCTTTGGAATAAAAACATATTTCTAATTGTTTTAGCCCTAAATGTTATAGTACATTTAGGTTCATTTCTGAATAATGATCAAATTTTTTATCTATCAATACCATTTCAAACTGTTTCTATGAATAAGAAAAGTTTTATGCATATGCGATGTTTTTTATGAATGTGGTTATGTATTTGAAATCTGTCATTTCAAGGGTGTTTCAAGATTTCTTCTCAAAACATAATTTTGAGGATAAACTATACATTTTCGCTTTAACATAATAATAATAATATATAGTTTCTGTAAATAATTATTTTAACTTTGCAGTTTTACAACGAATATAGTTGGGTTAATAGTAAGGGAAATGTCCTCGATTTCCGCGGTCGGAAACGGTCTCACTCTCCTTAAATTTCCTTTAAAGAATTCTAGGAATGTATTGGTATGATGTTACTGAATTGCCAGAACAAAATTAATTAACTGAATATGTAGGGAGGAATTTACTTTAAATTATTTATACAAACTGCATGCAACTCAAAGTCCTCCAACAACAGTTTGAATACGATAGGATCTAGAATTTTATGTCATCAGCTGTTGTGCTTCGCTCCAGAATGTTGCGACAGAATTACGCAAGGCAGTACATGAAGCATTCAACAATTGTGAACTGCTGTCACTCGAGTTTTGATGACATTCGCTTTAATGCTATTCATCAACCGGCAAGTCTCGAGTGTCTTTCTATAGACGCTTTAGTTAGTGAAACACTCTTTGCACATTTCAGCATTTACCAGTTTAGAATTCTAATAAATTTCACAACATATAATTCATATAAATAAAAAAAAATATATTAAATTCTTTCATTCAGTGCTTTTTCTTGATCCTGTTACATAAAAAATACATTTTCTTACCTGTAACTATAATTTTTGAATAATTCGTGCTGACTTTCTTTTCTCGAGTAATGAGATTTTCAGTGTGGCACCTGAAACTGAAACTGCTATCTCTTTCTGTGACGTCACGGAAATATAGATCTCCATTTTCGAGCATTCCATATTTTCCTAAAAAAATTAAAATATGTTTAGAATATTTTACGTTATGTTACATTTTATTAAAAAATTATTACCATTAGTTTCGGAGATTCTATAAATGTATGTTCTTACTTTCAATTTTTTATCCAGTACCCATGTATAATTTGTAGGGACATTACGTTATTTTGAAGCAGCAGAAGTGAAAAATGTACAATGTCTTCACCGTAACTCGAACCTGGAACTCTCGAATAGGCATGGAGGGTACTACCGTTAGACCACGAAGGCATTTTGAAAGAAGGGATCTAACGTGCTTAGCAAACATGAGATGGTAACTAGATTTACCAAAATTTCGCACCTGGCAACTTCTTGTGCAGTCTTGAACATGAATACAAAAGGGAAAGTGTGTAAAACTGTCTTTATTCATCATAAGCTGTCTAACACATGGCATCAACTTACGTGCTTACACAAATATACTGCCTACTTGTGGTGAGAATTTAAAAAGTGATTTAATAATTAAATTAATGCTAGAGATCTAGTGCTTGACTCAAGGTCGGATTTAGACTTGATAAGACCCTAAGCTATTTGAGATATGGGGCCTTTATAAGTCTGTTATACTATATTTTAATTTTTTTCTTGGAGGCCCTAAGCTATAGCTTGTGTAGCTTATAGGTAAATCCTGCACTGGCTTGACTATACAATTCAATTTAATCTGGCAGGCTGACTCAGAAACCTACACAGACGATATACTAACTAGACGGCTAGAATGTGTAACCACTACTAAGATTAACAACTGGAAGGCAAAATAGGAAACGTGTGCTTCACTAGCTAAATCACGCTTCGTATAACCTTTTCCTTTCAACAGTTTAAATGCGCTCGTTCACCTACTTAATTTGCATCCTGGCGAGGAAATGAGAGGGGAAATAAGGGAATTCAGAATGCGCTCAAAAGTTAAAATAACTGTTAGCATACCTAAACAGGACCCTACATATTTAATTTCATTTTATGTTTCTTTTGCACAGCTATTTAGCTTTTAGTAAAATCTTCAGTTGAAATATTTTAGTTTAAAAATTTAAATAAGAATTATTTATATTATAAAACGTGAAAAGAAAAAAAAAGTGCGTGTTCTGGATGCATTCAGCTGGTCACTATTCACAATTATAGAGTTAAGTGTACCCGTACTTTTTATGTATTCACTGTGCTATTTATATTTTGGATGAAAACTGATGAAGGTATCTGCATGATGAAGTTATCCGGATCTTCGTCGCATATATGAACCTGCAAAAATGGTTGTTGCTTGAAACTGCAGAAATATTTTAAATTTGTTTTTACTCTTCTAGCATGTTCATTGATACAATTTATATGAAATTTTAACATACAAAAACACTATGGGCAAATTAAGCGAATTTTTCAAGCTATTCTATTTTTACGAGAAGTAATCAAGCAATACTAATTATGCCGCCGAAAAAAAATGGAAATATGGAGAATCGAATACTTAAACTTACACTTACGTTTCTGGTGTCTGGGAAGATGTGATTGTCAAGTGGATATAAGCACACGGGGGATTTTCGGCGATTTGTATGCTTGTACTCTTTCTCGACATTAGCCAACTTTCTTGCAAAATTTGTCTAAATTTTAAAGGTATCAAGTAAAATGAGTAGCCACGAACGGAACGTATGGATAACACAGTGAGGTGAAGATTGGAAGCATACCAATTACACGCGCATGTGATTACAGAGCTCAACGTAATTCGCCTGCATCGTCTTCAATTTATGGAAACAGTTTTAGGGCACTGGATCCATACCGAGAAAACCAGGATAAGGTCTACCAAGATCTCCAACGAATGAGGATAGTTATTTTACATTTTCATCGCGGCAGCACAGGATCGTTCAGCTTTCAAAGCTCTTACGCGAACTGTATACTATACCATTGCCGATCACAAGAGAGTGCGTTTAGCACATACGCCTTTTACTAGACTTCAGTAAACTACCGTGCTTTTTATATACACTGGTTATCATAAATTAAAGAAAAACCACAAAAATAACGATAACTCCCTCAAAAATAAGCCAAACCGTGTAAAATTTGATTATGTTGTTAAGTAAGACCAGCTGAGTAAAACTGCAGTATGCAAATTAGTGGCGCTGCACTCGGAATACGTCATCTGCGAGGAGCATAAAAGTCCATGTTTGAGAGCAAGCCCACATATTTCACTGTGTTAGTGATATCAGAAATCTGAGATAGCCAATTCGTACCAATGATCTCCACGCATCATTTGCCTGCAGAACTACGATAAAAAGCCATTGGGAGACTAGAGGCAGGACAAAGTCAAACAGAAGTGGCGAGATGGCTAGCAATGACCGATATTTGATATTATGTGCACGTAGGAATAGAACCGCTACTCCGGCTCTTCTTTGATCTTCCATTGCTGCAGCCACCGGAAGGTTGGTGTCAACGTCAACTGTGCGTAGAAGGCTTCACGAAGGTGGTCTGTACGGGAGGCGACCAGCCATTTGCCTGCCCCTCATGTAATGCCGTAGGAGGAACCGTTTGCAATGGGCGCGACGACATGTCCACTGGACGCCTGATCAATGAAGGGCTGTTCTCTTTACGGATGAGTCCAGGTTTGGTCTGGAAAGCGATAGTAGGCGTTATTTGATATGGAGAGAACCTGGAACCCGTTATCATCCGTCAAACATCCGTGAAAGTGATGCATAGGGAAGAGGCAGTGTCTGTGTTTGGTGTGGCATCTCTTTGGGTGGATGCACAGACCTCCATGTCTTTCCAAGAGCGACCGTGAATGCTCAGGTTTATAGAGATGACATCCTTGTTGCTTATATGCGCCCATATGCCGGGGCAATAGGTGATGCTTTCCACACAGGGCTCGCATCGTAGATGATTATTTTCAACAAGACACAATTATGCGCATGGAGTGGCCAGCTCGATCCCTGGACTTGAATCCTATAGAGCACGTTTGGGATGCTTTAGAGAGACGTCTAGCTGCTCTCAATCCGACCCCTCAGATCCGTTGCCGCGCTTGCAACTGCTTGCAAAGGCAATTGCTCTCGCTTCCTATGGAAACTGATAGACCGCTTATAATTTGAAAGTATCACACATTCGTTGTATGTGCTGTATTGCTTCTAGAGGCGATTATATTCCATATTGAAGGTACTTTTACATATAGCAAACTGACATCTTCGATTTGTTCATTTTATTCATGTGCTAATTTCTATTTTACCATAATTGTCTGGTACTGTCTTTTTATGTTATTTGATACCTTAGTATGTGTTGTATATTGTAAGTAAGTTTCATAAAATTCTACATGTAACTTTTTCAGTAATCGTTATTTTTGTGATTTTTCCTTAATTTATGATAACCAGTGTATATCGAGATTCAGCATGATCTAATTTTCTGCGTATCTGTATCTAGAGACAGCCTGAATACTATACAATCCCTCTCTCATCACGGAAAAGGATCATTTCGATGGTGAATTGGACAAGCATTATGTTGTACCCTGCATGTGTTTCGCAAAGGCACCCTCATTTCTATAAGGTATAGAAATGAGATCTTAGAGCCCTATGCTCGAGTTTACAGGAGCGCAGTTGTTCCTGGTTTCCTGTTAATGGAAGACTGTGCTCGTCCACACAAGACACTGTTGGTCGTCGATTGCATAGGAAGTGCGCGTATTCGCCGAATGGATTGGGCATCCAGTTCTCCTAATTTTAGTCTTATAGAGCATGTTTGGGAGGCCCCCTGGGAAGGCAGTTTCATCTCACCATCCCCCTCCGAGAACCATCCTGAACTTGGCTTGCTGCATGAACGATGCGATCGACTGCCACAGGGCCTCCTCAACTGCCTCCTGTCTAGTATGTCGTCAGGCTGGGCGACTTATGTGTTCATGAGAGGAAACCATAGCCCATATCAGGTTAATTTTCAGTTTGATATCCCAACGTGGATTTTGGATATCCCTACACATGAGTTTTACGGATAATCATGCTCACACCAAATATTTTTTGAACGTCTTTTTCGCTATTGAAACTGTGCATTCATACCAAACGTCATCAAAAACTGCCAATCAGGTTTCCAGAACTTCAATATAATATGCCAGTTCTCTTAATTTTGCACACAAGTTTATTAATCAGACTTTGAAAACGCTAGAAAATAGCAAAAAGCTTAATTTAATTCTTCTTTGTATTAAGACTGTGAAGAGCAACTATTTGTAAGGCAATTTAAAACGAAATTCTATGTTTAAAACTTTTATTTTGAAAAGCAGTTAAAATAATATTTTTATATACTGAAAGCTGTGAATTTTTAGGTTTCAATAATGTAATGAATAGGATGTTATAAACCTTAACAGTACAATCTAATTTTATGATTTGCATTCTGCAAACTATTTTGATGCTACTTTTAAAATAATATGAGGCACGGGCAAAGAGCAAAAAATGTTTGTGGTATGGAAGCAATCAGCTTCCACACTACATACATTTATCAGTTTATGTCTATAAATAATACTCTCGAAAATTTGAGTAATAAAAAAATTAGAGAGATGATTGAGCAGTTAAAATTTTTTAGCTTTTCCCTTGCGCTCGATGAGTTGATATCAACACTATCAACAACAGTCAAAATGTTTAGTTCGCCCTCCCCCGTGCGTTCCATGAGTTAATATCAATATTAATACACCAAAAACATCATTCGAGACAGATCATTGGTGACCGAAAACAAGAATTGAACTTCGGACACGATAAAGGTACGTTGGTTGGTCATTTTAATTTAAAGCATTATTTGGTTCGTAAGACAAACGGAGACTATTAATTAAGCATACAAAACTCGAAAAAATAAGCAAAACTCAAACTCTAAAAGAAAGTATCCAAAAAAGCACAGTTTTAACGTGCTTGATCAGGTTTGGGTATCTATGTAAGAAAAAATATCGATATATATATATGTGTGTGTACAGATGAAGAAAAAAATATATAATATACATAAAAAATTGGTCAATGTTATTATTGATCTTACATCAAATTTAAATTATAAACCTTACATTCATGAATATTAACGAAGTTTAATACTCATGTATGTAATGTTCAATATTTGAGTTGCGGAAATTTTCCTAGATTTAAAGAAGAAGAATTATTGGCAAGCAATTTATTAACAATTTTTCTTTTACTCTTTCGCTTTTCTTTTTCTTTTACTATTTAATTATTTCGTGCACTTTCTTTGGTCTGTGCTTTTAAATTTTTAAGAAGCCTTTCTGTTCACAGGTTTCCTGGGCTGGACGTACAAATTATTAAGAGCAAAAAATTAGAATATGTTTTCTATTTCGATATTTTATTGCTAGGGAAATTATATGCTGTAAAATTATTGTTTAAAAGTGGTTTAAAAAATGTGTTTTCATTTATTAAATTTCAACCAGTTTGAAAAGCAAGCGGGAAAAACTAGAAAGTTAGGAAAATGAATGATAGTCTGCGTTTTTCTTCAGTAGCTAAGAAATTTTTAAAACAATAAGTTAAAAATTCCGAAATCAAACAGGATTTCAAGGAAGTTTATATTGTAAATTCTTCTCAAATGTATTACCAGTAATTTGCTTTTTTCTTCCTTGTACGAAGTAAAAAGGAAGTATTGTAATCGCGAAAAGTTTCAGGCAGTATATTTCAACGAAAATATCCATTTTGACCGCTATCGAATGCAATTTAACAATGTTTTTACGTGATATCTGTACTTAAGGACAAAATAAAATACTCTTTTACTTCAAAAAATTATAAAACTGCTTTAAAATTAATTCTGAAGAGAATTTTTCGTGGCGTCTGTACGAATGTATGTACGTACGTGCGTACGTACGTATCTTCCATAACTCAAAAACGAGTAGCCTCAGAACGTTGAAATTTTGTATATACGACTGCTATAACATGTAGATGTGCACCTCGTATTTTGGTTGCAATCGGCCGCACCAAACGTATATAAATATATTTATATATATATCCACTCTTATCCGGCTCAGTGATCTCAGTTTCTTTACTCTTATATGTTTGTAAATTGTACATTTTTTGCTTTAAAAAATGATTGAATTATGTTGTTTTTTTATCTTCCTGTTAAGGATTTTTTTTGCCTTTAGTAAATCTGTGTGCAATATTTTTAGAATTATCAGCAATTTTAAAGTTGTTTAATTGCCGCTAAGCCTGTTTTAATGGCGGCCATTGATGTTTACATTTGAAACAGGAGACTAGTGGATTTTGTTGCCTAATCTAGAGAAACTTAGCTTCGCAACAACAAAGATAACGCATTCATTTATTATTGCCAATTAAATCATGCTTAATTCTTTCCGGAATTTTTTCGAGGAATAAGCGTTTGAGATTTACTTCGTAATTTTTAATATAGTTATTTTGAGTTTTTATGTAAATTTGCCTTCTCGCGAAGGGAGAACTGAATTAATTAAATGAGAAATTCTCAATCGTCTGTGAAAAACTGTTTCTTCTTTTGTTTTGTTTGCTTAATTTCGTTTATACATAGTTCTAGCTTTATTATAGTATTTGAATAAAACATGTGGCAACGATTAGGTAATTCTTTAAATGATATAAATTTGGTGCATTCTGAGTTGTAATATGAACGAAATATATTACTGTTAACTAAACCTAGCGCCAGAGTGTCTCTATGGTAAATAAAGTGAATTTTAAAGAATGCATTTATTCTATTGTGGTTTATGCGTATAATTTGTTCGTGCGTTAAGAAAAAAGTAAGTTTAATTCAATCTAATAAGTTTAAATAAAATGCAAGAAAAAATGCGTATGATTTAATATTCCGTACAAGAAAGTCATGTGGTGTACACATCAGATTTTTTTAATTATACTGTCAATGAAAGTATGCAGTCAATCACATCGAAACATTTTTCCAATTTAACTGTGCATTTAGCAACTAATACCTTAGTAACTGTATAGATGTGAATTGATTAGGCAAAATTATGACAAAATACTATGTGCAGCGATTTATTATTTAAAGATTATTCTTAATTATCAATAGGCAATCAGATGAGAATTTAACTAAGAATTGTTTTATGAGATTTAAAAGAATTCAAAGAAAATAATAACACACACACACACACACACACACACACATATATATATATATATATATACATATATCATAAATTATCAGAAATTCTTACACTTGTTTTATAATTGAGATAATCGTAACACTGAATATAAATCAAACAGAACTTTATAAAAAGTCTGAGTTATGTTTGAAACCAAGGTATTATTGATAAAATTTATTAACATTTCTATCTGTTTCGTAGACAGAAGGTTCAAGCCATTATTTTGTCACAAGAACTATCAATGAGTTCTTTTCCAGTGGTTTATTTAGTGGTGCTCAATTTTAAGACAATATGCATATTTTCGCAATTTAATTTAAAGGTTCTGAACGAAAGGTACAAATAAAAAATGCAAATCTTAGGCGTCGAATACAAGGGCGTATAAATGAGCACGGGCGGAGTACTTTAAGGTAGGGTCGTTAAAAGTGCAGGTGGCATTTCCCGCGCTTTATTCGCTCGATCTTTTCGGTAACTTATTATTTTTTGAGGGCAACATTTCACGAAATTCAAAAGCGGACAATTAAAATGAGTACCCACCAACGTCTTAATGATGGAATGGGGTAGATAATTATTGTTAGAAAGAAAGCATGACAGTCTTAAATGCAGATACGTGGAGGCACTAATGTCCTGTATTTTCCATTTATGGAAACAGTTTAGGGATACAGAAGCGGTAAAAAGAAAGCTTGGGGAGGGTTGGCCGGGAGCAATGACGGCTAATGAAGATTGATAACTGTCCATTTCAGCGATATGTAACACGAGTGCAACAGAATTTCAGATTACTCATGACTTCCATGGGCTATTGTTTCAAGGGCTATTGTTTGAAGAATGTTGCATGAGCCTTCCACTCACTTCTTCGCTACTAAATCACTTCGGTAACGCATTTAGCATTTAGCCACTTCACCTTTCGGTAAGGTATTTAACAGGGTGCAGAGTATCGACATTGGATCAAGCATCAGAGAAGAAGCCTTTTATTCTGAGATTGAGTGCGGACTCAATCTAAATCCATCTTGACATATCTGCATCTGGAGAGGTTTAACCGCTTGACTGCTACGCGGCGCAAAAGCGCTGCGTTCATTTGTCTGGAAAACCGCGACGCAGTTAGTTATTTTAGAATGCACTCGTGTTACAAAGTACGCGTGAGGTCAGACTACGTTCACACCCACGGAGCAGCAAAGACACACTGAAACTCGCAGCGCAGACGAACGCAGCACTTTTGCGCCGCGTAGCAGTCAAACGGTTAAGAGCCGGTTGCCTAACCTTCAAAATTCGAGAAAAGGACCCGTATTGTAGCGGTGGTGATCTGGACTGGCATCGTGTTGGAGACAGACGCACAGAGCTTCAAGTCATTGACATAAACTCTGCAACTGCTGCGGGCTAAAAGGAAGAGATCTTAGAGATCCATGTTTACAGTTTCAGGTGCGCAGTTGGCCCTTAGCTCATTTTTATGAACAACAACCCTCATTGACGTAAAACTTATTTGATGGATGAGTTTTTTAAAATGGAGGCTATTAACTGGAAAGATTGGCCACCCGATTTCCAATAACTCTAGGGCTAATTATTAAAATCTAAAATTTACAAGACCTTGCCTGGGACGCTTTTAGAAGGGAAATTATAATTCACCTTACGGTAAAAAGCGCTGTAATAGAAAGAAGACTGATTACCTCATGCTCATAATCTGCTTCATTTCAAATGTGAAACTACATTTTGAGACATGTATGACAGTTAGAGTGGGAGGGGCATAGGTTAACTTTTTGTTTTATGTGTATATTTAGCATTGCACAAACTTTTGTCAATATTTAATTCCATTAAAATCTGTCCAGTAACTCTGGAAATAATCAACCAAATATGAAAATTTGCTTAATTTTAATAAAATAACTAACTTATCAGTTCACTGCTTTTGCCTGCTTTTTCAATCACTTATAATAATAAAAATAAGAATACGATTTCTTAACTTTTTGTGTATACCGCATTTGTTCCGTAATTATACAATAATACAAGACATTTTACATAACTTAATATTAATAATTTTATTTCCAAGTTATGGTTTAATTGCATGCTATATTTTCCTGAGTTTTATCCTTCGTGTTTCATTTAAAATATTATTCACCAAATTTTCTTTAAAGGTAAAACAATATGTGCGCTTTGTTAGAGTGGAATGCAAAATGTAAATAAAAAATAAGAGATGGATAGATACGAAATGTACATGCAAGTAATAAATATTACATGAAAGCAAAAGTTTGCGGATTATACGTCTTCTCTTACCACTGATAATCCCGGGAGTGATTAGAAAGCCATCAACTCTTTCCCATGACGTCACTTTGACGTAATCACTAACGAAACTGGGGACTGGACATCGAAGTACTGCCATATTTCCCCTTAAGACAAACTCGTCGAAGAGGTGGATGTCATACTTCTGGTTGACAACTAAACAAAGAAATAATAATATAAAGTATTAGGAAATTAAGAAAATATTTAACTTTTTCCTGGTTCTTAGTTCTGCAAGGTAAATAATATATATATGAAATCAGACATAATGATATCATTTATTATGCATACTAAAATTAATAATAAAAGGTCTTTCAAAAGACATATGACTTGAATGTTAAAATATTCGAAAATTACTCAGCAAAATTAAGATTTCATACATAATATTTCATATTATTTAAAGAAATAAATCAATTTAATTAGTTTTCAATTAAAATTGTAAAAACATTATCCCGATTAACAGACTGATATTATAAAAATTCAATTTTATACCTGGGTATATTGACATTATCAATAAATCTAACATAAATCTGATTTTAAATCTGAGTTTAGTATTCTTCTCTTCGGTTTTTTCCAAAATAATTTTAATATTCGCCTCAGAAAATCAAACTTTATAAACTGTATATACTTCCTTAAGTCATGGAGTATTTACTTTCATCCTTTAAATGCAAACCATTGTCTTTAATTTCTATAACATGCTGGGAAAATAATCTTGCGATATTCAAAAAAATTTACAAACTGTTTCGGAATTAGGCAAAGTTATATGTCATAGTCAAAAATAAAAACAATGACTCCTACTACTGATTATTTTCAGAATGTGTAGGAAAGAAATGATTTTCTGGGCTTCATGAATGATTGGAATTTCATGCTGAATGAAATATTTATTCGGCAACAATAGCGATGATCGTGTCATTATAATGGATTATGGCAATTACGTCTTTCGGCAATTTTCGTTTCACCTGGAGGGGTTTCAAACTAAAATATTTTCTGTGGCTAAAGAAGAAAGTGTACAAGTTTGATTCAATAGCTATGAAGACTTAATATCAAAGTAACACAATTTAAGCGTCAACATACCACGTATGATATATTTCTCTATAGTTATTTATTAAATGATATTTGCAATTTTCAGGATTCCTCTAAATCTACTGTTCTAGTTTTGGAAGAAATGAGAAATGAAACCGGAATTGAAGACTATGCCTCTTAAATGCATCCCGCCCGATATGTCTCCTACGAAGTACTGTGCATTTGGACTTTTAAAACAAGCTCTTTATAAGCGGCATCCCCAAACACTGGATGGAAGATTGTGAAGGAGGAGTGGAATGAAATCATACTTGATATTTAAAAAAAAGGACTTTGATCTTAGAAATCAAGATGTAATATGATAGTTCAATAAAAGGGCTATCAGATTGAACACATTCGAGAATAAAATTCTAAGGTATGTTTACATATATATATTTGCAAAATCGTTACAAAAATGTGTGAACACCTCTGTATTTATGTTCACATAGAAACAATGCTTTTTGTTGCTAGAATAATTCTCTTACTCATCTGTAGAATTTTATTTATATATAGCATATGCTGTCATCGTATAACTGGCAGTCTAAATTAAGGTGAAAAGTTTTAATTAATGTTCGAAGTAATCTTACTTTTTATGATACATTATTTTTATTCCACATAATTACTTTTTAAATTCTTTCATCTTAGTAATCCTGCTCATCGGTACCGAGCATTATATTAAGAACTGGACAGAGTTCAAATAGGATATTATCTGAAATTAATTATATTACAAAACTGAAACAAAAAGATAAAATAATTTTTCCCCTTTTTATGTTTAAAAAGTATAGTTTCCGAATAAATTAATCTCGTCGAAAGGACCTTAAATTCCAAATAATTACGTATTGAAAATTCCTAATTATCGTGCCTCTGAATTGCTTTTAATTGAGGGCGTAATTTCAGTTTCTGAGTTAATCCTTTTCCCTTCTCCTTTTTGGCCTGCTCGCACTATAATATAAAGCTGGCAGTGTAATTAATTTTGTTAAAATCAACATTAATGGAAGTAAAAACATTCAACAGAAATTAAATTAATTCAGGTAATTGGATTGTTGTTTCCAAGCAGTCTTAATTTTATCCAGATTTTGATTGCACAGGCGGTAATTGAAATATTTTCTGACTGAAGTATTAATTTCGTGAAGTCAGAAAGAAAAATCACAGACTGTGCAGCAACGTATTCAAAATATAAGTCGTCTGCTTTATATAAGAAAAGAAAAATGAAATAATTTGTCGCCGGTTAATTAAACGTTAAATTGCATGTCTTCATATCCTTTCTGAAAACCTTAATTAATGCAAAATGTTTAGCTTTAATAATTAAATAAAGGAGAACTTTAAAAGGCTAAACCAAGTAAAATTGTTTTTATTTCCCATCAAATGCTCTCTACAAAGTTATCTAATTTTATACATTAAAAAAATCTTTATTCTCTAGTAAAGTACTGAAACTTTATTCGAGTAGAGTTTAGAAAATTTCTGGAAAATGAGAATTATATGATAAATTTGAGCATAATTATTTTGTCATTTAGAAAATTATACACGTGTCTGTACACACATTTAGATGTAGCCTGAATACAAATCTAATTAATGAATTTAAGGAACACACAGAGGCTTTAAAATGTAGCATCTTCCAAACAGTAAGAAATGGTCATTAATAACATTCTGATCAAGTTATGTCATGAAAATAATGAAATGCAGTCTGAGAGTAACAGCATTTTCCGAAAGAGTACTGTGGCTTTAGTATGAGTCGGCTGTGACATTTAGCTTCTTTAAGTAATAGTTTACTGCAACAGCAGAGCAGCTAATTCATTTGGGCATGGTGCTTATAAGCCTGTTAAAGCTCTGCCAATGATTCTGATTTCATTTAAACATCTAAAGAGTTGTCTCACTGGAGCTGTCGTTTTTAGAATGGGCAACAAAAGTGCGATGGAAGTGATGAAGTCCGTATAGTTAAAAGCATTCTGTTTTGATTCTGCAGCTTAAGCTCAATAAGATAGGACAGCGATAATGCTTAAGTAATACGTTCTGATGCGACTAATCTCACTTCTCATTACTTGACAGTAATATAAGAAAACGTTCGACCTTTATTAATATGATGAACGCAGAATTTCACTATTCATTGGCATAGGCCTTAGGGTCCCTTTGAGTAGCAATAAGAGAGTGCCCATCTTAATTTCGTTCCAGTTTTGAAACAGAAGGAACTGGGGAACAAATCAAATGATCTATAACCCCTCTTCCACCAGACTATACTAGAAGGCTTAAGTGGCCCTACTCCGCAGCCGCACTATACGCTTACGAAAATTCATGCCTTTTCGGGTTTCAAACGCAGATCCAAAGACATAGCAGCCAGAATCGCTAACCACTGTACTGATCAGGGAAGATATATAATACACTGCCTTTCTTTTTCTTTCTTTTTGCCATCGACAGAGCAACCAGCCCGCTGGGTTAGGTGCTGTTCAGCCTGTAGGACCCCGTCGATGGAATTATAACTTTGTACTGTGTCCTCTGAGAATTGGCTACGTGGACTATAGCAACTAGTTTAGTTTGAACGATTTTTCATCTAAGAACATGGAACTACAAGTATTATTAAAAAAATGCCAGTCCATTCACAATTAGGTCATTAGATGACCAGTTCTCCAATGCTTTTTAACAATACAATGCAGATGTTTACTGCAAAACACACGTCCTGATGAGCAACAGTCATGTCTTCTCCGGATGCATAAAGCACATGTATTGAATTAGTTTAAAACGTAAAAAGTAGGCACTAAGACACTCGTGTACGGTTAAAAGTCTAAACTCGGTTCCAGCGGCAGCACAGGGTGAGTCCGAGACACTGTGAAACCACAAAGCACATTCCAGGGATTAACACCAGCAGGGTGGAGAAGTAATCCGACGAAATAGTCGCTTGGAAAAGAACATGGAACTTGGACAAAAGTTTTAGATTGTCATTCTTGACATAGCTTCAAAATGCAGAATTGCCTATTTCTGTAATGATTAAGTTAAATAATATATTATGAAACGTAATATAATGTGGGGTAAGCTCTTAAAGACACGTAGGAAATTTAATAAGGGGTGTGGTCATCTCTGATCGAAATGCAAGCTTTACACGATTTTCAGTGATGTGTTTTAAATTGTCCAGGATTTCGCACGATAACAATGTGTAGTTGCAATGACTTAGCGCCTTGAAGCAGCTGGTTATAGCTAAGTGGAGGTTGTAGTGGTATAAGTCAGCATCATAGCTCAACCCACTAATGTTCTATTGGATTTAAATCCGGAGAACAGGCAGACTGGTCCATGCGCTTTATTCCTTCACTTTCAAGATAATCAATTAATAATGCAACATGATATTGCAATTCTAAAAGCTTGACATAAAGATTAATTACCTCAGGTCTGTATATTTAAATATTCAGAGTTGCATACGTATTGTTGCATTCAGAGTTGCATTTGTAGATCAGTGCGCCCCTTAAAATCGATACCTGACTATACCATGATTCTACCACGGTTGTTTTCAGATTATTGCATCTGTTTTTCTCTCTTCAGAATTTAAAATGTCTGGAATCACCCTCAAAGCAAAAACGAGATTCATCAGTAAAGCGAACATGCCTACTATCCGCGATACTCCAGTCACGATGATCCCCATATCACTGCAACATGGCGCATATTGTAGGGCAAATTAGTAACATACAAATTATGTTTCTTTAAACAACTCTTTTCTGTATGCACCCTTTCACACAATATATGCCTAGAAAGCAACGAACTCCTTTGCAATCTGGCCGGATGTCGAATATTTATTTCTTTTAGTAATCGTTGTCATAATGACATTTCTCAAAGTTTGTTATGGCAAAGTTCTTGACTTTGACATGATTGTATCACCAGTGTCTGCATGTATCAGCAAACTATAGGCATACATCAACCTGAAGCTTTTGAATACTTTTAGGTCTCTGTAGATCTTTATCAATGTTTGTCTTGTTTCCGTTCTCGCAATCGCAAGCAGTGTTTTTACCAATCCGACAAATATCGTCTGAACAACATACTCCATCTTACAAAAACTTCTTACACAACGACATCTAACAAAAGCAAAACTTTTATTCATTTATTCTAATGGTCCTTAAAAT